ATGACTTCTCCCACTGGTATTCTTCCTGAAAATATGACAAATACCATTTAGCTATCCCATGATGCATCATTAGTGAGGACAACCATAATGATACATGTGACATCTAATTGCAGGTAATGAAACTACTCAGAAAATGTGGTCTTACTGGGAATGAGCAATTTCACAGTGTAGAAGAACTCATGGCTGCTCAATATGTGAGTATGCATCATTCAAATATCTCCTATATAACAACTTGATCTGTCATGATCTATCGTAATTTGGGATCTGATTAGTAGTGACAAAAACGTAATTAAAGAGTACATATTATAAACACATCAACTGTAAAAATACTCTATTTGCTCTTTCAGTCTTGTGGGCACTTACAGCAGCATCCAATCTCATTTTAGAAAATATATAGATGTTTTGTTTACGTTACTTATATTGGCCAGTGGTACAGTAACTGTTATTTTTCTGAAATTAGTCTGAACACTGTTTTACATAAATAACCAGATATGGTAAAAATGGTCATATTTTAATGATGAGTCACATAAGAAATGCAATTTCTGGTTGATGTGTTGCACTTGTGATGTCTACCCGGTATACTTCACACTGTGCCTCTTTTACTCAGAACCATTCGACTATAACATTTTACCAAAGATTATGTATCATCTAAGCAAATACATTTCTTTATCTCTAGGATTGTGCATCATATGAAAAGAGTAATAAATTCACTATATATTCGTGTTTGCATGCAATATTATTTGAGTAGAGCTATAATAATAGATTCACTGAATTTATGTTTACACAATATACCATAAGGGCAAGGCAGTATTAGATTCACTATTTTTATGTTTGCAGACTATACCCTATGGGAAAGGCTATAATTGATTCACTGTTTATGTTTAAACAATATACCATATGGGAAAATCTATATTAGATTCACTATGTTTAAACAATATACCATATTGACAATTTACTGTTATGTTCATACAGGATTTCATACGAGCAAGGCAGTAATAGATTCACTATGTTTATAGTTGCATAAATTCTCATGGTCAAAGCAACATTAGAACCACTATGCTGATTTAGCTTCACGTCCATTTTGTTCAATTTTCAGAGAATATCTGTTGAAAGGAGACTGAACGAAAAAATAAAAGTATGTGAGGATGGTGATGACCTATGTCTTGTTTGTTTCTGTGATATACCCAAAGGATCTGTAAGTAATATTTTAAAGATTTCTACTAGACTTAATATTTTTTCACTATTTTGTGCTGGAACTCACTATTTTATGATCATAAAATATAAGTACTGTTTTTTCTGTAGATTTAGCTTACGTTGTTTGCATATGTGAACCAATAGTTTTTGTGGTGGCGCTGTTTGAGTAATAAACAGGGATTGGTCGTGC